AGAGGAGGCAATACGCCTTTGATCATTGCTGGAGGTGGAGGGGGGATTAAAAAGATGTCAGAACAACATTCAGGATGTGATGCATCCACAAGCACCACAGGGAATGAAGGGTACCCCTCGCCATTGGGGTCGGGAGGAACAAACGGAAATGGAGGAGGTAGCGCTGGTGATAAACCAGGTGAGCAAAATGAGATTTACCCATTTATCTTCAGACTGTGAGAACTGTGAGACGATAAAAAGTCATCACATGAGCAATTTCTAACCCATGAAACTGATGTATCAAAAGCACATACGCCAAAGAGTTGAACACTTTCGCAAAATCTTAGTTCACTTGAATGTAGCTCGTTGACTAACATTCGTATTTCACTTGCGCCCTTATTGCGTTATTTTAGAGCCACCAAACTAGGTCATAAAACGGGAAAAAGGTGGATATCAGGGTCGTTGGTTGATTACGAATTCGGGTGACACAGCAAAAGCAATGTGAGAATCATATGAAATTCTTTAACAGTTCGATTTTCGTGACTTAGTTGTAATATAGAAGAAAAATGTTAATCTTTCGTTATTTCTATTGATGCCGCCCCGATATCATTAGAGACCACAAAACATTTGTTTTTATTGTTTAAGGTGGCGGCGGCGGCGGCCTTAACGCTAATGGGGGAGGAGGCGGTAAAGGTGGCAAAGGATTTCTGAACGGAGGGAAAGGTGGAACGTATAATGGTGGGTTCGGAGGTGGCGGCTCAAATCCAGCTTACTCTGGGGGACCTGGCGGGGGTGGAGGTTACTCTGGGGGAGCTGGAGGTGACAATGACAATCTCTCTTGCGGCGGAGGAGGCGGATCTTTTAACAGTGGAACAAATCAGGAAAATGAATGTTGTTATAATGCGGCTGGAAATGGTAGAGTGACTACCAACCTTGTCAAGTGATCAATACACATAGCAACAATTTTCACACAAAATATAGTCGCGGTATTCCACACAATCTCGTAATTCTTAGAAAGACAAATTATAGCTTATGGCATATTGGTGTATTAGTGAAAACAAGGAACTCTCAGATAAAGCAGCGTAACAATCTATTTACTTGCAGATTCGCAGAAGCACCGAAATAATTCATCAGAAAGTGCAGCCTATTGGAACTTTTCACGCGTTTCAGTTTCTCTTTGGTGGCGTACTTTCCCTGAATGCTCCCCTAATATAATACTTGTTACTTAAGTGATCAGTTTTTTTATTTAGTTGTATTTGTATTTGAGTGGATTGTCGCATATAGATGTGGACTGCATTAACACTGGAGTAACTTTTAGTAATACCCAGTTGTTAAGTGTTCTATTTTTACTTACGATAGATCTGGGCAGACCTTAGAGTTCAAGTTGGTCCCTCTTTTACTCCCCATCATTTTATCCGAATTTCCCTCAGGTTGTGAAGTCAATTTATAAGCAGTTTGTTCTATGTGTGAAGATTAACAAAACTGTGTGTAAAACGGTCGACAACAAATCCTCTTGGAAATAAGAGTAGAAAATAGCGATGTGAATGGGCCAACGATTTCCAACAAAGACGGAAGGACTAAAAAATGAAAAAAAAGCAAAAGAACTCAAGCAACTAAAAGTGGTTGAATTTATTTCATTATACCAGTCCCTAATGTGTAATGCTTGTCTAATGTACTCACACAGTTGTTAATTAAACAGCGCTACAGATGTAATTTTGTCTTTATTTGGTCGACTTGTTTCAAACGTTTTCCCTGCTGCAGGAGTTTGTAGAATAGATGTTTGATTCATTGACTTGCTCAGATGGAATAAGTAACTCTTAATTTTTAAATCTACCAATAGCAAGCTTTAGCACCAATGTTTCTGAGATGCTTTCAAAAGCCAGACGTTGGTCATTATTTTCATTCGTAGTTACTAAGAACCTCATGTTCGCTGTAACATTTGGTTAACAATGCCAAAATAAGCGTTTTGCAGTTTATTATACAATACTTGTAGTCGGCGTTTGCATCTATGCTAAAGCTCGATCCCCAACAATGAATTATTTCCACCTACTTCAGCTTCTTACCCATAATGAGACAATCTTTTTAATAACAACGGTTCGCTAAGGTCTGTTTTTTTTAATAAGTAATCTCCATAAAATTATTCATTTCTATCGCCGGACAGACCAAT